CAATCATCTTATATAATTTTGAGATATATTAAGATGAGACAAAGTGATCGTACTGTGTACATGATTCGGTCGCCTTGACGAAATATTAAGATGAGATTATTGTAGGTAATCAAAAATGGATATTTGCTATCCATTGAACATGTTTAGAAGCCATATTAAGTCTTCAGTTTGAGATTACCTCGATGAATGCATATAATGATAACTCAAATTAAGTATCATGGAATACTTGAACTAGGATCTGTACTATATTATTTATTTTTTAAAGAATATGACATACACCCTAAGAGAGGGAAAACATTGTATCAAACGTTTCATACACCCTAAGAGAGAGGTTTATATAACCATATATATACCCTTATGATTTTTGATTTTTTCTCGAGATATTATTTCAGTGTTGATGCTTTAGCATGTTATTAATAATTATGATTGATGCGATTTGATGGGACACATTTAGGAAAGTAGATGATTTAAAGTTGAATAATTCGAGTAGGAAAAGAAAAATATTTTAACCAATATTTATATTTGTATTCATAGATCGGACAATTGTATTTAATTATTTAGGATGTTGAAAACAATTGTAAATACCATATTTTACATGCACAAATTGAGATGAGATTGTAACGTTGGCCCTTTTAGAAAATTCTTGAATTCACAGAATTAAAATGCTTAAGAATTCTCTTTTGTGACTTTTCTGATATGTGTAAGATGTATTTTAAATTATAGTTTCTTTTAGATGGTTAAGAGCATCTGCAAGAGTTGTTTCACTTTGATCACTTAAATTCTTTTTCTTTTCTTGCAAACATGGTTTATATTTTGAGTTTGGCACTCTCTCTATCCTTGTCTACTAAATTATTGGGAATGCTTATGCGGTGCGGTATCAGCAATGACAATTTATATTGGGGTTGCAGGAAAGCCGGAAGAAGATTCAGATTTTTATTTTCTCCTGTTACATTTCTCTATTTTCTTTGTTACTTTGAGAAGGCATATTTCAAAGGCAAAACTAGTTCAACATGACTTGTTTTCGTCTAGGTGGTATTAGCGGCACCATTATTTAAACGGCGATTTTGCTGAATTAAGCTATTTCTAGTCTTGATAATATATGGTTGCAAGTTCGTATCTAATCCAATTCTAAATTTTCGGTCCTCCCGAAAGTTTAGTTTTAGTTGTGCCTGGACTTCGCTCGTCAAAATATGTTTCACTTCAAAATTTTGTACCTAGCCATGTTGGAAAGTGAAACTTACCTTCAGAATAGTGAGGACATTATCTGGTCAGTGAGGATTGATTATGCAGTTATAATCAAAATTAATGAATAGTTTGCTCATTTTGAAGTTTAAAACTAACTTGCTGCCCTAGCAACATGCTTGTATGATTAATGCTATTTTCCTAATAAATGTGTTCGGCAGGTAAATGTACTTTGTAAAAAAGTAAATCCAAAGAAAATGTTTTTCTTTCACTTTTGGTATAATAACAATGTCAAAAGTATTTGCAGGTAGCAAAGAAAAGGGTGAATTGAGTGAAACCTTTAAGCATGATGATGGCAAAAGGTTCATGTCAACTAATGGTTAAGTAGGGCATAATGTTGCATGCATAAAATTCTTTTTAAATTTAAACTTTAACAAAAGTTAGATTTTAGAAAGAAGATTTGCAGCTACTTTTGACATTATTGCTTAGACGAAAATTTGCTATCGAGGATGAACACGGTTTATATATATATATATATATATATATATATATTAGAACAAAAAAGGATAGTAACTTGATTATATATTTATCGATTATTTCCTATTGGGACTACCCTCCTCTCAAGCTCAATCAAGTCGTAAATTGTACAATGAATTAAATGGTATATTTAATAATTTAAAGTCGATCCGAGCTCTTGAAATTATAATAAATTCGACCATTCGATCTGAATACTACATGAAGAACATAAGCCACGTAATGGATCTTCCTAAAAGCTAGTGATCCACATTTTAAATCGATTCGAAATAATTAATAAAATGATATACAAAGAAACTCGTCACTGTCTGTTGAATCTACTAGTTGAACCAATGAATCATTTACTTGGTGCTTTTGTAGGGACAATAATAGAGCAAGTTTATTACTGTTTCAATTTATCACTATTTTTTATTTAAATACATACGTATATACATATATATAAAGACAACAATCATTGAAGTTAATGGATTTGTCCTTTTTTTTTTTTTAGGGTTTGTAATTTTTAGTCATTATCAAGAAAATAAATGAAGTTAAGAGTCAATTATTTTTTCAATAAAGTTGGTAAGCTAATTTCTTCAAGTTCATCATAGTTTTTATATTGCTCCATCCATTTATAGGCAGACCATTTACAGCTCATTTTTTCACTTAAATTTAGCTTAATTTCACTATTACCAGCACTCGAATGATTAAGATTTGAAATCAACAATTTGTTCAGTCCATTTAAATTAAAGGACTCGAATATAATTAATTTTTAAGTACATTTCAATTATTTAACTGATGCCACGAACGATTAGCATCTTGTTATTTGTTAACAGTAGTGAAGTGTCAAATTTTAGTGAAAAATGATCAAATGGAGACAATAGATCCTAACTCGAATCAGAGGTTGGATGAGTTTTTATTTTCTTTATACTGTCTTTCTATTTCCTCTATTATTGGTTTCGTTAGGAAAAATGCAAAAAGAAATTAGTTAAAATTACAAAATAAACGAAATAAACGTCACTACAAATAGAGTAACAATAAAAGAGAGAATCTAGTTATCAATGTAGTAGCGTTATTAAAAGAAATCAAGGCTTGTGTTGCATGGACATAACTTTCTCAAAAAATATTCGCCCCCACTGTGGCGCAAGAGGAGTGGAGAACTGATATCATCAATCTTCCAAGATAAAGCGGTTGAATTTAAATTATTTTTTTCTAACTTGTTTTTCTTAAATTATTTTACTTTCAAAATAGTGCTCAACGTATCTCGCCCCTGTAATTTAAATGGGAAATTGGATCGCATGTTCACTGAGACTATCGGTATTATAAAATTGAAATATCGAGAATTTATTGATTCACAATTGAAGGTTGAAGACTTACTTGGCAAAAATATGATTGTCTGAGAATTTACATTTTAATTTTTCGTTTGATTTTTATTTAATTTGCCCATTATTACGGGGTCTTTTGAGCACCATTATTTGTAGATTATAATGAGATAAATAATGTTTTTTTGAAAAATGAGTGGTTAAAAAGTTTTTGATTTACGTATAATATTATTTTATTAAAAATTGTGTGATTAAAAATAAGAAAGATAAAAATTTAATTTAACGTAATGAGAAATAATGCGGCTCATGTGAATTGATCCATGTGAAAATACATACACGAAAAAGGAGACAAAAAGAATTTCAGAAAGCACGATATCCGGGAAAGTATAAAAGCGTCTTTTCTGGATTTGAACTGTATAAAGCTGTACCAATTTTGTTCTGTACAGACAGATTTTGTTATGCAAGTCTGCGGTATTGAAGTCAGCACTATGTCATCATTACCACTAATGCTTGAAGAAAATAACAAATAAAAATTATAAATTTTAAACCCTGTTTGATAATATGATCAAACCTTAATTAAATCCTTAAATAAGCTTAGCCTTGTTTGGTGTCCATTATTTAAAAATTCTTTTTCATTACATGATCATTTTCAACTAAACGTTCACACAATAATATATTTTGAATTTAAATTCAAAATTTTTTTATACTTTTTAACTATACATTCTACTAAAATGCTATTAAAAACTCTTTCTTTTTATGAAATAATAGACACCAAAATTTAATTCAACGTCAAAAGGAACTTAACTGCAGTCAACCCCCCCTTGATTTCGATCGAACGGTGTTACACTTACAGGGAAAAATCCAACAAACATTTCAGAGAATATACACAGTAGTGGATCCCACCTCAATAAAATATTCCAATGGATCCCACCCCATGTGACTTCCTGTAGAAACTTTGTTACACAGGGCATTTTCCATTTTGACCCTTTTTTCCCCTGGAGTTTTGACATTTAGACTTTCCAGTATGATAAGAAACAATTATATATTCCCTTGTTTGCCTCCATTTTTTTATAAACAACCATTCTACACGTACATCAATTTTCACATCTTTTTTCATAGGACACACACATGCAAGTGGGTGGAGCCCACGATTAAAATAATTGTGGACGCCACCTTTGTGAGTGGGTGTGAAAAATGCTGTCATAAAACATGCTGTACAAACAACAATTTTCTTTTATAAAATACATTTTTCTCTTCTCAATATCAATACCATATTTTCTAATAAAATAACAGTACACGTAAATTCAAAATATTTTCTTATCTTTTACACATTTTTCAATAAATCACTATCTCAAAATGTATTTTTTTCCCAAAATCTATACACCTGTTTTTAAAGATTTGATAGTAATAAGTTTTAGAAAGATAAAATAATATATCAAACGAAATTAGAAAAAAATGGTTGGTCTTAAGTGTTGGTAGAGCATGGGAATGATTTGGTGTTTATATGTGAATTCATGTTTGCATATTAGCACTGAGATATTCTTGTATGTTCGGTATGTTACATTATACTGGACACATTTGAAATAATCAGCTTACAAACTTGGATCATCCTAATTTTTTAGCAGCTTAGACGAAATGGTAGTTTTGGTCCGACCCATCTATGCTTTTCGGCCTATATATTCAATCAATGCCATCTTTTTTGAGCTGGATATTTATTCTAAATCGTATAATAAATAAAATTTTGTTATATGCAAAGCAAATAAATTCTAAATAACACTTTTGAATCTTACACTAAGTTCGTCCAAATAAAAATTAATCTTTTCATAGATTTTGATAAAACTTGATGAAATGCGTGAAGTTGATAAAAAAATCATAAAATGTGTGATAGAAATTGAATTTTAGTAAAGACGAATTTTGAAAAATAAAGACTAAACAGAGATATATTTTGAAAATGGAAGTGTGGAATGTGGGTGCATGTTACAACTTGCAATAAGCTCAAAAGTCGTACAATCTAACATCTTTTTTCAACTCTTTCCCACTATCGTACCAAGAATACAAACAAGAACTAAACACTCTGACATAAGATCAATAACAAAGCTTTTGTATTTGATTTCATCGTTCTGAAACAAACCAAGCTAATGGGTTTTTCAAATTTCTTCATTTTTCTTCTTTTGATTGCATTTTCATCTTATTTGATGAAGCCAAGTTGTGGAAATGCAGAGATAAGAGCATTAATGGATATAAGAGCATCTTTGGACCCAGAAAATAAGTACTTATCTTCCTGGGTCAGTGATGGGGATCCGTGCAGTGGGAAATTTGATGGCGTGGCATGTAATGAGCACCGAAAAGTGGTTAATATTTCACTGCAAAGTAAAGGGCTCACCGGAAAAGTGTCGCCGGCGGTGGCGGAGCTCAAGTGTTTGTCGGGTCTGTACTTGCATTACAATTCTTTGACTGGAGAAATACCCAAGGAGATTGCTAATCTCACTGAATTGACAGATCTTTATCTCAATGTGAATAATCTATCAGGGATTATACCGCCGGAGATCGGAAGCATGGCTAGACTTCAAGGTCTGTACTGTGTGATTTTATAGTTAATTTATGTATCTGGGATGTCTTTGATTTGGACAAATTAACTGTTAATTCTCCAATATTTTAAAATTATTTTCTAATTCTTGAAGTTGATAAAGTTCAGATTTGAACTGGAAATCTGCATCCAGGAAAGGGCTATTACAATTTCAAGATTGGTAATTTTCCAACTCTATATTATTTATTATTGAAATATGTTGTTTTTTCAGTGCTGCAGCTATGTTGTAACCAGTTCACAGGGAGCATACCTAAAGAGATGGGGTTCTTAAAAAAGTTGAGTGTTCTTACACTGCAATACAATAGACTAACTGGGCAGATTCCTGAAAGCCTAGGAAATTTGGGAGGGCTTAGAAGGCTATATTTGAGCTTCAATCGACTATCCGGTCCGATACCAGTTAGATTGGCGAATGTTCCCCAACTGGAGGTTCTAGATGTGCAAAACAATACCCTTTCTGGGGTTGTGCCTTCTGGTGAGTTGATTTCATTATATTCATGAGTTCAGCTGTTTTAGAAGAATGTTTCATAAAAGGATTAAAAGATCACAATGCTTGAGGAACTATTTGCATGTTCGGTTTTGATTTTT